ATCAGAAATTGATTACTCACAGGGCTGGAGGCTGGGAAGGTAAAGATCAAGGTGTGGGATAATTCAATCTCTGGTGAAGACCTGCATCCTGGTTTACAGATGGCTGTCTTTTCATTCTGACCTCTATGTTGGAGGGAGTACAGGTCTCTCAGGGGCCCTAATTCTATTCATTCTAAAGTTTCCTCCTTTCAAAAGTTCCACCTCCTAATCCATTGCCCTGGGGATTTGGATTTCAGTATGTGCATTTTGGGGGAACACAAACATTCAGTCCATAGCATTATCCTTATCTCCATTGTATAGGTGAGAAGGCTGAAACTGAGAGTAATAAGATAACATGGTCAAGGTCCTACAGCTAGTGCCTGTCAGGGTTGACTTGAATCTAGGTCTGTCTGCCTCCATAGTCCATTTTTTAAAATATTTATTTTTGGGGGTGTAGATGGACACATGCCTTTATTTTTATGTGGTACTGTGGATCAAACTCAGGTCCCGCCCGTACTAGGCAAGTGCTCTACCGCTGAGCCATGATCCCAGCCCCTCCATAGCCCATTTTTGTAACTACACCTGGTTTGTGACAAGTGGATTATTCATGGGATATCCAAGTAGATATAGTTAAGTATAGTACTTAACTATAACATGTGATGCAGGGAGAGAATTCAGGACTGCAAACATCATAAGAGAATTATCTGCATCAAAGTGACAGTTGAAGAGATGGGAGTAGAAAGGGAACAAGTAACAATGACTGGCCTGAGGACATAGACTTGGGCTTGAACAGTGGAGTCTTCCTGGAGGGAGAAGAAAATAAAGGAGTCTATTTAAAAACCCTGCCTGTTCACAGAGTAAACGTTCTTTTTGGCTGCCCAAGAGTTTCTTTTTTTGGTTTCTGGAAAAAGGGCAGAGCTGTCTACAATCCAATGAGTAATTTTTCTCAACATCTTTGGCACAAGGCAAGCCAAAGAAGACATTGATGTTTTACATCATTGGGTGCATAAGACTCCTGAAGTTGAGTATGCTGTTTTTCCAATCAGGGAGAACCCTGAATGTATCTCTGACTCTGTCATACTGGGAATCTAATACACCTCTAAAGGAGGCTGGGCTTGTTTGAAAATGGGTACCTTCCTCCATATGTAGCAGGACCACTAGGGTTTAATACTGCTTGGTAGGATTTTGTTGAATTTGTAACCATTAGCAATACTACCCTCCAAGGAAGCACTTTTGGGCTTTCCTGCAAGATCAGATGTTTGAGTTTTCTTTGGAGAAATGTAAGTATTTCATAAAAAGTCTTGCTAAGTTTGATAAGTTTCCAAATCTCTTCAGGCCACTAAAGATCTCAAGATTTTAGAAAAGTTCCCAGTTAATATCAAGGTTTTAAAAAAAATTTCCTCTAGCAATATTAATTGCAGCTGAAATATCTATGTAGTACATTTTTCTTAAGATGTTTTCTAGAAGATGTTTGGTAAAGCACAACAATGCAGTTAGGTCTTGCTCTGGCAAGTGTCCTTAGAGCTCTTTAAAGACATTATCAACTCCTTTAAAAAATCAGAAAATGGGGCTGGGGTTGTGGCTCAGTGGTAGAGTGTCTGCCTCGCACCTCATTTGAGGCCCTGGGTTTGATCCTCAGCCCCACATTAAAATAAAGGTATTGTGTCCAACTACGACTAAAAAATAAATATGACTAAAAAATAAATATTTTTTAAAAATCAGAAACATGAAAAAGAGAGACAGTATTATTGTTTTAACTCAATTCCTCTTTTCTATAAAATTGGTATAGGCTAGGCTATACTAGAATACTGAAGCAATCTTGAAATCTCAGTGATTCATGCAACAACAACAAAAAGGTGTTCTTTTCACTCACGAAATAGTCTGCCGTGACTCTTCCAATGGGGACCCCAGGATACAGTCTATTTTCCTCTTGTTTCAATCTAATGCTGAGTACTTTGGGCCACAGTAACGTCATATATTGAGAGTAAATTCACTGTCTTTTTTCTCTTTTTAAGCTCAACATGTAACTTCTAGATCATCAAGACTGGGGAAGAGAGAGCAGAAGGGCTACACAGAGGCTTTGCAGGAGGTTACCCAGAAAGAGGCACAAGCCACTTCTCACAGTTCCCTGGCTAGAAGTAGTCACATGACCCCACCTAACAGTCAGGGGTTTGAGAAGTGTAGTCTTGGGATGTTCAGAAAGGACAGGAAAATTACATATTGATTTATATATCACATAACTGAAAACATTGAGACACTGATGATAAAATGAGGACTACCTTGGCAAGGGTAATAATTCGATGAACATGCAAGTAATTCAGTCTTAACTCTGATACTTTGTTTGATGGTGTAAATAGTTTTGTTGAAATACTTTTATTTTCCATCTGGGATTCACAAATACTAAAGAAACACAGTTTTTCCAACCCATTTGGCGTATGCTGATTTAATACAAATCTGGGTGTGCATCTATCTGCAAATTTTGTGGAGTTGAAAGCATAACGTTTTCCCTTCCTGTCTCCGTCTCCCTCTCCCTCTCTTTCTCTGTCTCTTTCTCTCTCTCCCTCTCCCTCTCTTTCTCTATTTCTCTTTTTCCCTCTCCCTCTCCCTCTTCTTCTCCCTCCCTATTCTCTTTTTGGACCAGGGCCAGATGGAAACATTTTGGGATGCCAACTTGGATGTAATATTCATTCAAATGCCCTATGGTTCATTTCAGGCACACCAGATATTAAACATTAAGAACTAAGGGTCTGAACCCAAGTCTGTCCATTGATATTTTTCCTAAGTAATAGGTAAAATATAACAAATAGATCATTCTTCTTGAGGCATCTTTTGGAATTTCCACAAGCTTTGTCATCATCTTAAGTTGGCCTACTTTTAATTTCTTGATGTTAGTCATATCACATTTACAGAATTTAGTATCTCTCATCTCTCTTTGGCCTGTCAGCATCAGCCATGATACCCTGATGATGACCAACAATTAAATAAAGGCAATATTTCTTGAATAAATGAATGGTCATTTTGCTTTTCTCCCCTACTTAAGATGAATATAGTTAACCATCTCAATAATATACTGTGTCTCCCTCAAGAATCTCCCTGATTCTTGCTGCTTTTCCCCCATCTCTCTGCATGTGGGGTGGTGGTTGGGGAAAACAGGGAAACTTGGGGGATACATGACAGTGTACCAGGGAGTTCAGTGTGGCTATTGAGGGTCTAATAGTTTGTGATTTAAATACCTCCATAAAGATGGAGAATGGGGAACAAGATGAGAAGGATTCCTTGGGGAACAAGTTAGATCAAACCAAAATGTTTGTTTCTAGAAAATTCTTCCCTATTGTCAATTTATTTCCATGTCATTCTATATTAATCTATATTAATAATTTGATTATAATTCTTGATTCATTTTAACCCACACTGAATTTCTAACTTAGATTAACCTGTGAATTTTTTTCTTAGTGCCAGGCTGCTTAAATTGTTCAGATTTACATTTCCTCACTGCCAATTAATTCTTTTAAACTTACGCTAATAATACTTATATGAAAAAATTGCTCATTGAGTAAACTCTTGATTAGCCTACCAGTGGAGGGATAGAAGAGCCTTGAAAGCACACATTTCAAGATCATTATCCCAGTCAGAATGATTTCCTCTAAAAAAGATATGATTCTTGTATCATGTAAGATGGAATTTAGAGATGGAAGCTACATTTAAGATTATCTGGCCATGTGACCTTCTCATGTAATAAATGGAGTGACAGAGGCCAATGTTGGGATGAGAATGCTCTTGAGTCTATTCCTGGTGCTCTTTAGTGAAAGAACATGAATACATAATAAATACTAGTAAAAGGTCACTCTTGTCATCTGAAAACTGTGGTTTATAGTACTAGAGCTGTAGATGAAACAAGATGAATGAAGAGGATCTGGAAATTTTAAAATAAACTCAACTCTGTATCAAATAAACAATTTTTTGGAAAACTGTAATGTGCATATCAGGTATTGAAAAGGGAGGTAAAAAATTCCCCACTGTCAAATAATGTGTCACACAGATGAGTAAGAGCTAGAAAAAAAATTGAATAGACGTCTTTCCAAGAACTATGTACAATTCTGTGAAATTTTGGTCATGATGGAGTGTTTTAAACTTAGGGCCACAAGAAAAGAAGGTGGAGGTCATTTCTTCTCTTTGGCTTTCCCAGTGGCTTAATGATACCTCAGAATAGATGCTTTGTATCTTCGTAGCTTCCAGTTCAGTTTGTGCTAGGTAAAGAGAAAAACACACACCCAATACAGTGCCAAGGGAAAAGTGTCTCTTGCAACAGTCCCAACAGTGAAATCGCAGGTTGATGTGAGATGCCTGATTTAATAGCACACTTACTGGGGTGCGAACACTGTTGCTATTATTTCCACTAGTCCCAAATGTTATGCCGGCTGAGTCTGTGCCAAAACAGAGAGGGAGCCCACTAGGCCATACTGCAACCTCAGTTGTGTGGGGCAGTCCTTTTTTTCCTGCCCCCCTGTGAAATACCATCTATCGCAGGACGCTCTCTGGAAGGAAGCCCAAGAGGATGTGAAGTGGCGCATATTCCCCATCTGTCCTCTGAGAGGCCACACCCAACACAAGGCCCTCATTGTGTCTTGGGGAACAGTAGATCCACAGTACTAGGGGGCCGGCTGCCCCTCTTTTATACTTTTTTTTTTTTTAGACGAGGTCTTGCTCTGCTCCCCATGCTGGCCCAATACTGGGCTTCAGCGACCCCCGCACCTCAGCCTCCTGAGTAGCTGGGATCACAGGCACGCCACCACCCGGGTTTTCGGGTGGTCCTCTTAAAAGGAAGCCAGCGCCTCTCACTGCAGTGACCACAGCCACGGAGTGGGGGAAGCAGCTCAGGCCACGCAGGTGGGAGAAGGCGCAGAGCCGCGCGCCCAGCACCGCGCAGGCGCCCCGGGTCTAGCACTCGGGGCCCGGCGCGGGCGCGGCGCACCTGGAGGCGGAGCTAAGCCTCGTCGCCGCGTGCTCCCGCGCGCGAAGCCCCCTCCCCGGGCCCCTCCCGCCGCGCTGCAGTCGCGCAGGTGCGTGAGGCCGCGCCCGCTGGGGACCCTGCAGACGTGGACCCGCCATGGAGCACATCCGCACGCCCAAGGTTGGTGGCACCCGCGCGAGCGGAGGAGGGAGAGAAGGAGGAGGGATGCTGAGCGCGCAGGAGGCTCGACTTCCCTGCAGGGAGCTGGCAGAGCTTGGACCGCGAGCCGAGCGAGGGAGGAGCAGGCGGCGCTTAAGCATCTCTCCTCCGGTCCCTAGGAGGCCGGCCTTTCTCTGGCTGTTTCGCAGGCCTAGCTTTAGCTAACCTCTTGTCCTTGGTGCTCCCTAGACGTGGGGTTGAGCAGGAGGGAACTCGGCTTGTGTGTCAATTAACAGACTGCCAATAACTGTTTCCATCTCTTCTGGCACTAGGCTTTTAAAAATTTCATATGTATTTTTAAAAACTGTTGACAGTTCTGAGGAGTTGAAAGGGAGACAGACCTTTCAGTAGAAGGAAAAGGAGGTATATGCAGGTGGACTGGATGCACTTGAAAGCATGTTGAATCTTAAGCTTCAGACTCACCATCCTCACTCTTCCCAGGCTAGCTTCAAGGGACCTTTCATAGAACTGATGATCAGTGTTTGCCCTAGGTTGAATGAGGGTGTGTTCCTGCCTTTTCCAGTCTGTTTAGTTATTTGGGGAGAAAGATGCAGTTTATAGATCCATCCACTGGTGTATTTTAAACAACGCCACCTTTTGCCACTCCACCCAAGTGACTGGTCCCTGATTATACAGTTAAATAACATTTCCTGGAATCCTTGGCTCAGTGCCAAACCTTCCTACCCGTAGTTGTACTGGTAATATAATTTAGAATGAAAATGATTGTCATTCCTGCCTGGTGAAAACCCTGAACTAGTGAGAGAATACATTTAAAAATCCTATTGGCTGTTTCTTGTTTCTACCACCACAGCTCCTTTACATCTCGGATGGTCTCCTATTCAAACTCTACGTTCATAACAGAGTTAGGTCAAAGCTCTTCATCTTAGTGGACAGAGAGCTCAGGTAGCTTCAGGAATATGGCTCATTTCATGGAAAGAGGGAGACAGTTTGCTTTATACCCAGCCAAAAAAAAAAAAAAAAAAAACAACTTTATTCCTAAATTGTAATAGTTCCCCAGTATCTATTTCTAAAAGCCTGTTTAAAATTGTCGCATGCCAGTGAAAGAATAAATCTTTTGCTTTGCTAGAGAATGCTAGTTTCTATAGTATATTTACATTGCACTGATTTTACACTATAGAATTAAATTGTTGCTTCACAGTCAGGAAATTGTAAACTTAGAAGACAGTGCCATAAACCACAAGATAGGTGGTTCAAAGCTTTCAGGGTTTAAGTGGTACTAAATAATTTATTCCAAAATGACAAATTTAACTCATGGATTCACTCTGCCCTTGCCAAGGACATCTCTTCTTCTTTAAAGAGGAAGAGGGCCCTTTATAAGAATTGTATGTGATAAGAATGTCAGAAGCAGGAATGAATGGACAACATGGCATTGGATATCGTTTTCTTATAGAATATAAATGTTGGGGAGTAAAGACTGTTTCTAGTCCATAGTCACATTCATCCTGCATAAAATCTTATGTGTAAATCTGATTATTCTTAAACTTGATTTCATAAACACCCTTCAAACAGTGTAGTACTTCAAGTTAGAAATCCCCTTCTATGTAGAAATGGAAAGAAATTGTGGTGATGTAGACTTATCTGAAGTGTCTCTGAATTGGGGAATGGTTAACATATACGATATTGCAGGGAAATAAATATAAAATTACACAGGTGGGGAGATGAGATTTATCTATTCACTCATTTCATTCCACAAGCATTTGAGAATCTTTCATGTATTATGCTTGGTGTTACGGGCCAGGGGACTCACAGACTGGAAGGGGAGCCACTTGTAAATATGCCATTGCATGATGGAAAAATGTACAAGATACAGTAGGTGGAGAGGGGAGAATGGATAAAAGATCAGCTCTACCATCAAGGGTGAGGAAAGCTTGCTTAGAAGAGCTGAGAGTGAACATGGGAGGAGTCAAGGAAGGCCAGGAGCATTTGAGCCAGCAATCGTGTAGGGGTGTGTGTGTGTGTATATACATACATACATATACCTATATGTTATATACTAATAAATAATTACAAAGAAGTCGAAATCTCAAAGAAGCTAAAAACAATAACACTGGTAAAAATTAAAGATCCCTTGTGTTAAACAACACCCTCCTTTAGATTTACATTTTTTAGTCCAAAATTAATTTTCATCATCTAAATGAAAAAGAGAACAAGATTACTTTCAGAGCATGTGTTATAAAATGTAAAGTTGTCAAATGATCGTATGCATCTTTGTTGTTTGCTCCCATCATACCCTGAGAAAATTGAATAGACAGTTTTCCTTTGATTTCGTGGTTTCATGTCTTGGGTTTGTACTGGGTTGATGTTAATGTGTCTGAGATCCTAGCTAAGTAATCTACTTTTTCTGGAAGGCATTTTTTTTTCCCCGTCTGGGTTTATGTGACCATTCGTGGATTTGGAGCAATATTTACCATGGGGATTGCAGGATTTTATTTAAGAGGAAAAGAAATATATGCATGTGTAACATACAGTTGCTTTCCTATTACAATGCAAAGGATTCATTTAGTCTTCAAAAGCTATATAGTAGCCATCACAGCCTCTTTGTTTTGCTTCAGTCTCTGGAGTGCAGTTTAAGGAGACACAGGCACATGAATAATTTGGAACGCTTTGCACATATCTCTTTGTGTGTGTGTGTGTTTAACTGAAGCCTTGAATACCATGTGCTAAGCAGAGCACTCATCTCCCAGAATGATTCCTCTATAGTCAAAATCATTTTCAAAGGACAAGCTTACTTGTTGTTGGGTTTAAGTGAAAACACCAAGTGCTACCTGTACTCTTTGTAGTGTACTTTTAGGTTCCTACTTCACTGACTGGCTTCCTTTAACACTCTGAAAACTTTCCAGTAAGAAATTATTCTGCTAGAAGCTTAGGAATAATTTGAGTTCAGATACTATCTAGTTATATGAAAAGACTTCAGAGCTCCTAGAGATAATTGGAAGTGTTTGTGGACCTTAGTTTGGTCCTAGATGGATGCTAATCTGTCTGGCATCCTGGATAAATAAACTTTCTTTGGAAAGCATATCCTCACATCTGTAAATTGGAGTTATAAAACAGAATTTGTGATAATCTTTAAAACAGATCTTCAAAATGTCTTCTCTTCTTCTCTACCCCCACACCCAAGCCTGAGATGTTACTCTAAGAGCCTCCTAAGTGGGCTCCTAATTTACTCCTTTGCTCCTCTCTAATCCCTTTTCCACAGAGGGGTCTGGATGTTGCTTTTATGATCCAGATTGATCATATATTGCTTCTCTGCTAAAATTCTTGGGTGGCTTTTCTTTGTACCCAAGATACAAAGTAAGACTCTTCAAGAGGCCCATAGGACCCTGTGTAGACTGATCCCTTCTTACTTTTCTAGCCTTGTTTTGTGACCATCTTCTTTTTTACTTACTGTCTGTTCTCTGATCACAAATGGCCTTTGTGGGCTTCTCAAAGGTGCAGGTTCTCTTCTACCTTGGGACTTGTGTACTGTTGTTACATCTGAGAGAATACTAATCCTCTGTCTTCATACCTCAAATTCTAGTTTCAAATTAAATGTAATTTCCTCAGAGAAGCTATCCCATTTTCATCAGACCTGCCTGTCGTATTTTATCATAGAAGTTTATTTTCCCTTTATGTTCCACATTACAGTTATTGTATTTATTGGAGTGATAGTTATTTAATGTTAAGTCCCCTTCTTAACTGGAAGCTCTCTGAGGGTGAGGATTGTATTCACCCCCGTATCTACAGTTCTTAACACAGTGCCTGGTACCAAGTAAGCATGTGGCAAATAAATTAAAAATCAAAGGAATGAATAATTATTGATTTTGGTACTTCATTTTAAAGAATTTTTGTTAGCGTGCATTGCACCCATGATTTGACATTATTGTGAATTCTGTAACAATATTAGCGTGAAGTATTTGTGGAGGTCAATATATCTTATGTAGTATTGGTATATGAGTGTCGCAATATTATAAGCATATGTGTAATCACAAAATATATTGTAATGAGATAACGTAAAATTCACCATTTTTATCACATGAAGTATAAAATTCAGTGGTTTCAGACATTTACAAAGTTGTGCAACCACCACAACTATTCAGTTCCAGAACATTTTCTTTTCTCCCAAAGAAATCCGGTATCCATCAGTAGTTAATCTTAAATTATAATACAATATCTTACCCTATCTATGTTAAATATTGTTTTGTTGGGCTTAAACTATTGTTTAATCCCTTACTCTGTTTTAGATTCTGATATACATCTACTATTTCTCTCAGTTTGGTACTTTCCACTATTTAATAATGTGCTTGCCTCCTATTACCCTATCTTTTATCTCATCCAAGAAATAAACTAAATTAGAGGCATGAAAATTTTTAGTGACTTAAGCTATTTACTTTCATCTCTCAGGATCTTGGCCCTGATAGCAGATGTACTTGTTCTCTCTGTTTGGTTTCATTTACCAGTTTATGAGTCTGTCCTCTAATACCCCTCCAAATAGCTTATTGGAGAAAGAAAGGAAGTACAAATGGTCTAAAATGACTGAGTGACTCCATGATGTTCCTGCTGACTGATGGTTTCCTTTTTTAGGTTTATACAAAGTTCCATTAAAGAACTCATTTTAGAATCTTGCTTAAAATTAATGTCAAACTCACCAACTTATCTGCATCATCCATTTAAAAATAGTTATCTTGTTTTAAGGTTCTCTAAGTGAGGGAAAGACATTGAGTCACAGATTTTCTTTCTCCATTTCATTCACCATCATTATACCATTGGCACTAAGGGGTAGTACTCCTTTTATTTTCATTTAGCAAATATTTTTTAAGTTATAGAATTAATAAAGAGTACTGTAGGAATTAACTACTGTTAATATTTGAGTACATTTTCTTCTGGCATGTTTTAATTTGTATGCATCAAATTTTTTGTTTGTTTAGAAATTTAGGATCATGTGGATCAATTTTGTAGATTGC